GCCTCTAGCACAGTAATGATTTCAAAGCTGGAATGTGAACCAGCCAAATTCTCGTCTTTGTGTTCATAAAAAATAATACCTCATATTTCTGGCTGTGGGCCCTGGTGGTGAAGAATTATAGATCCCATGCAATAGGCTTGTGTCTCACGCAATGGAAGATTCTGTTCAACCTGCTGTTCTCAGTTCAAACATATTTCTGTCCTTAGTGAAAATCGACCATTATTTGAACAAGTAGTTCAGGTACCCGTGTACAACGACCTGTCCCTAAATTTTGTTTAGGTACACAACTCTAATGTGTATGTATATGTTCTTGCATGTATTTTTGTATATATGTATGTATGTATGTACATGTGTGTATGTATGTATGTATGTATGTATGTATGTATGTGCACACATACTCACTCACACCACTCACACACACAACACACACACACACACTCACTCAAAGAGGAGACCGACACTAAGAAGCGGTATAAATCTGCCCCTTCTTCGTCTATCTATTCTCCCTGCTTTTTCATCACCTCCTCTGTTTGCCAAGCTCTTCAACAACGTGACTTTATCGGCAGTTATGAAACTTTAATCTTTCCTGTAAATTCATTTTGATCATAGATTTATCATACATCTATTATAGATCTATTACGTATTTTTTTATAATTTCATTTATCTATTATATATTTACTCAACGCAGCGTTATCCGTGGTCATGGAACCTTAACATTATCTTTCCCCAGAAATTATATAACAAGAGAGAGAGAGAGAGAAGAGCCGGCCCGAGCAGGCCGCCCTCGGGGCGGCCGGGCGAGCGTGGGAGCAGAGGGGAGGCAAGACGGCGGTTGAGAGAGAGAGATGGCAAGCGGAGAGATTGGGGCAGAAGCTGGGGGCGACCGGTGTGACTCCCCCGCACTCCACCGAGCGGAAGAAAGGAGACAGTGTACCGGGCCTGGGTGGTGGGGCAGTGCGAAAGGCGGTCCTCTCGCCGGAGAGACGGTGGACGCGCAGGAGGGGCCCTGTTTGGCGGTCGTGTGCTGAGAGGGAGGAACCGAGAGAAAAGCGCCGACAACTGAGTGAAGAGGGAGCAACCTGAGAGAGCTAGTATGAGAGTGAGAAAGTATCGGAGCGTCGCGTACGCTATCCCCGAAATTGTGACCCTCGCCCCCCGAAGACCGTAGCACACCCGAGAAGGGTCAGCGGAAGACGAGGCGTACGCGAGCGCGAACGAGATGCCGAGAGCACGGGTGCCAGCCGGCAGAGAGAGAGAGAGAGGAGGACGAGAGTAACCAGGTACCGCGCAGTTGCGCAACCAGGCCGCGCCGAAGTGTCGCTTGTGCTGGGTCCTTGCCCTTCACCCAGGAGGCGGGAAGACCGGACGCAGCGTGACGTGAGCATTGGAGCGGTGTCGGGGGGAATGGTTTGCGCTGGAGAGATGTCCCGCGACTACGCGTGACTCTCTCTTTGCGGCGTCGCTGATCACCGACATCAGCGACTGGACTGAAGAGCCACGCCTTGAGCTGCGCTTCTTCTTTAACCGCCAAATCGGCCACGTTTCGACCTCTATCCAGTGTGATTTTTGTCAGAAAGTGTCAGATACCCGCGAATCCACGTGGGACTCAAAGGACATTCTCAAGGCCATCATACAATCACAATCCCACAGAGCGAATCGCACACTACTCACACTCGTAGGACAGCGCAAGCACAAAGCACAAAGCGCGGCTGCCATACAAGGTCACAGCCACACAGCACAAGTCGCAATGCAAATCACACAACCATATTCGCCAGACATTCACAAAACCACAACCACAAAGCCACCAATCACAAAGCACACAATCACGAACAAAGCTACAATCACGAAAGCCACAGCCACAATCACGAAGCACAAGCCGCAATCACGGAGCCACAATCACGAAGCCACATCACGCCACCAAAGGGCAAGGTCACTCGTCCCCCCCCCCCCTTTGCCTTGGCCACAGAAAGCAAAGAGAACAATGCAGGCAGACTTCAATGAGGCGAGTCTTAATGAACTATCGCGCCAATTTCACACAGGGGGAAAGTGGTGTTTGCGCAAAAGGGTGAATGACGGGGGTGAAGGGGTGGGTGGGGGTGGGAGTGAGGGGTGGAGGGTGAAGGGTTGATAGGGGTGGAGGGAAGGGGTAAGAGGGTGGAGGGAGTGGATGGGATGGATGGGATGGACGGGGTAAGGGGGGGGAAATGGTGTTTAAGGGTAATAGTGGGGAAGAGAGGAAGGACGAAAAGGTGAATAGCTCAGACGGGGATAGGAAGGTGGGGGTGGGGAAGGATAGAGGTGGGGGAGGAAAGGATAGGAGGTGGGGGAGAGGGAAAGGATAGGAGGGTGGGGGGAGGGGAGGGGGTGAATGGATAGGAGGTGGGGAGGAGGGGAGGAATAGAGGTGGGGGAGAGGGGTAGGATAGGAGGTGGGGGAGAGGGGAGGATGGGAGGTGGGGGAGAGGTGGGTCGGAGGATAGGTAGGGGGGGGTGGGAGGTGGGAGGATAGGAGGTGGGGGAGAGGGGAGGATATGGAGGTGGGGGGAGAAGGAGGTAGGAGGGTGGGGGAGAGGGGGAGAGGATAGGAGGTGGGGGGGTGGAGGGGAAGGATAGGAGGTGGGGGAGAGGGGAAGGATAGGAGGTGGGGGGAGGGGAGGATAGGAGGTGGGGGAGAGGGGAAGGATAGGAGGTGGGGGAGAGGGGAAGGGAGGAGGGGAGGGAAGGATAGGAGGTGGGGGGGGGGGAGAGGTGGGGGAGGATAGGAGGTGGGGAGGGGAGGGGAGAGGGAGGATAGGAGGTGGGGGAGAGGGGATAGGGAGGTGGGGGAGAAGGGAAGGATAGGAGGTGGGGGAAGAGGGGGATAGAGATGGGGGAAGAGGGAAGGATAGGAGAGGTGGGGGAGAGGGGGAAGGATAGGAGTGGGGGAGAGGGGAGGATAGGAGGTGGGCGAGGGGGAGGATATGGAGGAGGAGGAGGGAGTACCTGGAAACTTAACCTTTAATCAAACCTAAGCAGCCCATCCCCCTCATCTCTCTCCCCTCCCCTCCCTCCTCCTCCCCTCCCTCCTCCTCTCCATTCTCTCTCTCCCTCCTCCCCTCCTCCCTCCCTCCCCCACTCTCCCTCTCCCTCTTCATTGCAAGTTTAATTGGAATGACTAACTTGCCCTCTATCTCCGCGGCAAGTTGAGATGGAATTAAGGAAGGAAGGGGCAGTCCGAAGAGAAAAAAGAAGAAAAAGAAAAAAAAAAAACTGCCCGCCGCACAACCCCAAACGTCCAAAAGTAAGTAAACAATAAATAGATAAGATGATAAATAAATAAACGAGTAGAAACGTGGACAGTTTCACGAAAACATTACGTTTTTACGCGAAGGAGGACAAAAAAGGAACATGAAGATATATAAATAAAAAATGTGAACAAAAAAGGCCAAATACGTGAAGTATAAAATAAATAAAAAACAATTAGTACAAAACGGGTATCGAAAATGAGAGAGAGAGAGAGAGAGAGAGAGAGAGAGAGAGAGAGAGAGAGGAGAGAGAGGAGACGAGAGAGAGAGAGGAGAGAGAGAGAGGAGAGAGAGAGAAGAGAGAGAGAGAGAGAGAGAGAGAGAGAGAGAGGAAGAGAGAGAGAGAGAGAGAGAGAGAGAAGAGAGAGAGAGAGAGAGAGGAGGGGAGAGAGAGAGAGAGGGAGAGAAGAGAGGAGAGAGGAGAGAGAGGAGAGAGAGGCGAGAGAAGAGAGAGGAGGGAGAGAGAGAGAAACAAAGACAGAGAGAGAGGTGAGAGACAGAGAAAGAGAGACAGTAAGACAGAGAAGACGGAGAAAGAAAGAGAACAAGCATCCGAGGAAAAGAAACAGAGTGAAAGACAGACAAACAAGAGACACAGAAAGAAAATAAAATCAACCCTCCTGGCACACGAGAGTTCAGTCCTTGTAAATAAAAAGGTCTTTATCCAACTAAGAAAAGAGATAATCACACAAGCGGAGGAATTACATTTTTTCGTCCAAGCGTAATGGTGCACACGGCAGGGGACGCTTGGAAGAAGAGAGCAGAAAAAAAGAAAAGAATAGGAAGAAGCAATTGTGATTAAGGAAAAATGAAGCAGAAAAAGATGTATTTGGAAAAAAAACAATAATACTAATATGATGATGATGAAAAAGATAATGATGATGAAGATGAAGAAGCAGGGGAAGGAGAAAAAAAAGAAGGAAATAAGTATATGAAAGAAAAGATGAAGAATAAAAAAAAAGAAGAAATAAACATGATGAAGACGAACAGTAGAAAAAATATGAAAAAAAGAAAAGATGACAATGACGGTGATGATGACGACGACGATGATAATGAAGAAAGTGGAAGGAAAAAAATAATACAATGACGAAGAAGAAGCAAAGATAAAGATGAGGAAGAAGAAAATAAGAAACAAAATAATCAAAGAAAACAACGACCGACGTATACGTATCAAAAAAAAGAAAAAAAATAAAAAAAAAAAAAAACAAAAAAAAAAAAAAAAACAAAAAAAAAAAAAAAAAATGATAAAAAAAAAAAAAAAATCCAAAGAGCGACCGCAACCCGAAGACAGAGAAAAAACTAAGACAAAAAAACATAGAAAAACCAAAGCGATAAAATCGCGACCCACCACTAACAGAAGGCTCAATGAAAATCCTGTCGACCTCACTGGGGGGGGGGGGGATGATTCGGGGAAGAGAAATAGGCTACAATGCCGGACGCGAATATTAGCATGGGGGTGGGGGGGGAGAGAAAATTAAGGGGGGAGAGAAAATGAAGGAAGAAAACCGGATAGGGGAATAGGGGAACCCATGGTGAGAGTTGGAGAGGATGAAAAGGTTAATTGAGGGCTGAGGGTGAGGGTAAGAGTGTGAGATTGGAA